ATGATATATAAAGCAGAAAGGATTTCCAAAAATTTAGCACAGAAATTAGACTAATTGAAATTGGTTTGCATTTCATTTTATTACTTGTTTCACCAATACATAAATCAGTTTCACAGTATTATGCACATGTGTTTTATACTAGCGATCACATATATTTACAAATATAATGTATACATATATGTAAAAAAATACATATATTTTTTTCTTTTTACTGACTAATATAAGAATGGCAATTCCTTTGCAGTCTTACTGGAATTAAAACCAAAGACACTATAGACCATTGTGAAAACCAAATGGCTATTCTTGGGTAGAAAGCTGATATAACTAGGGAATTATTTCTTTTCTAAGGTATTAATAAATCCTGCCTTCCTATGTCTGTTTTTCTATTCCCAGGGAGTGTGAATCATTCTCAGTCAGGGGTTTTCTCATCCCTGTAAAACCACCTGAGGAGACATAAGAGAGGAACAACAATATTAATAACTAGTTTTTGGGGTAAGACCATGGAAAAAAGGATTGGTAACTGTGGTATGAATTTTAGGGTCTGAATTTAGCAAACTATAAAAGAAATTACTCATTGGCCAAGTGGTGTCTGAATAGAAAGGAAAGCAGTAGTGGGAGTACAGTTTGCAGTAGGCAAGCTTTAATTGTTTAATGCTTGGTTCAGGAACCAACCATGCCTTGAACAAGCAATTCTAATTAATTTATCTCACTGGTCATTACAACACCCTCTACAGTAAGCTCATTAGCAGTGTCAACATTCTCATACATGAACTTCATAGTTGGGAAAGAATCAGGAGGTATTCCACAGTGACCTGGTATAAAGCAAATGTTTGTACGCTGAAGCAAAAGAGACATTCTCAAAGGGCTTGTGGTGTTGCTGCATGCCACATGCAATTCCCTCAAAAATTAACTTTCTTAGGGTGTAATTTCTTCCTGAGAACAATGAATTCAGTGTGCATGCAGGGCAGATTCAAATAATCACCCAATGAATTGCATGAAATTGCCAGCTGAATATATAGCATTCGTTACCATGTGCATATATATTGCTAAATGATTCCGTGGTCAAGGTTCTTCAGTTTCACAATGTTTTTGTATGAGAATGCTCTAGGAATGATACGAAAAATGTGATATAATTGAGTTAACTTCTGCCCTTTCACTGAAAGAAAAACAAAGTTTTTAAAATGAGATAACTGTTCTTAAAGAGCTAGGGAAGAGGACTGAAGGGACAGAGAAGACTTCCTTCCAGATCCTGTGTCACTGAAAGGCTACATTAGTTTCACATTGAAGCCATTTGGGTCAATTGCTTTTCCAGATTTTAACATCCTATGGAATTACCTTGTTGGTGTGACAACCAAGAGAAAATGGGATAGGAAAAGGGAGGAAATTGCAAAGCTGAGAGGAAATTAGGTCAACTTAGCTTGTCAGAACTATAAATTGTTGCACCCTGGATCAATTACCAACATTAGCTGAGGTTGTTCCTCAACAGTATAAGCCAGATTTTCATAGGTGAAGCAGGAATTGGAAGCCAGGGGTACAGTGATTGATCTAAACCCCAGAATTCCAGACTTTTATTTTTCCCTCTGTTTGTCTTATTTGTCTATTTTATTTAGTTTAAACTGGGTACAAAATATAATATCTTTGAGGAGGGAAACAAAGAGAATTATGACTCAGGATAGTAATCAAGAGATCAGCTCACAGCTCTGAGAGATGGGAGAGATGTTCAGTAGAAATGCTAGTTTAATTTGGTTAAATGTTCTATCAACTTGACTACTAGTTATTAAAAAACAAAACAAAACAAAACAAAAAAAACACAACTTTTTTTTCTGCCTGGGATGTTTGAGTCAATCAATGAAAGCCTGTCATATGTATCTTCAAAGCTAAGCTCCTAGAAGTGCTTGTTAGAGGAAAACAACCTAGTAATCATAAATATATATTTTTTGAAAAAGTCTTTTCCCAAATAACTTATTACCTCTGGTGCTAAATTATTTAGGCTTATGAAGACTTAGGTAATTTAAGCATAGTAATCATTGGAAATGTAAACTCCTAGGAAGGAATCTCAGAAGGTTATATGACAGTTGAGTGGGAGACTGCAGGCATTATGTTTACCTAAATATGGACTTTGTTGCTTAAAACTAAGTAGGACTACTTTGTCAATTTAATCTTTCTAGTAGCTGCACTGACATCAATAAGACACAGAAAAGTTACCTAATAAAAGTATACATAATTGCAGCAGATGTGTAACCAAGGAATTTAGAAGATTTATTTTATTTTATTTTATTTTATTTTATTTTATTTTATTTTATTTTATTTTATTTTATTTTATTTTATTTTATTTTATTATTTTATTTTATTTTATTTTATTTTATTTTATTTTATTTTATTTTATTTTATTTTTATATTGGAAAAATATTCTCATGTGTTATTATGAAATCTTCAAATGCAGTATCTATTACAAAATATTTTGTAAACAATTATGGAGGGTTTTTTTTTTTTGATTGATTGATTTAAATTCTTTTGCTATTCAGCATGAACTGTTCTGTCAAGGTCATATTTTGTGTTTTTTCTTTAATTTTTATGATTTTTTCAGACTTCATTGTGTATGTGTTCTAACAAACACACTGAAAAAGTGCTATTTTCAAAAAAATTGTGCATAATTCAAAATTGAATTTATTGCTGTCATGCTTCTTAACCTGTTCTATTTTGTTTACACAGACTTTTGTGAAATCAAGTTGTAGTTATTTTAATGATGAGGAAAATGGATTCTAGTATTTCATCTATGAATACTGAAGAAAATGATTTTGTATTCAAACGTACAAATAGTCCCTTGGGAAGAGTATACCCTATTATTTAATCAGACATGAAAAATAATGACGTGATTTATACATGTCATGCAGATTAGCTAACAAAGATTTTAAAACAGGAAATAATGTTCTACTGGCATCAGTCTTATGCAAACTTGCTACTGTGAATCTTCGAGTAGATTTAATTTGTGGCCGCTGAAAATTTCAGATAGTTTGATTTAGGCAGGGTCTGGTTAATACAGACAAGGAAAAAGAAAACACTATATGCATAGTAGGTGTTAAAAGCAATAGTTGAAACAAAATTTCTTTTATTAGGACTTCTTTTTGTGTTTTTTTTTTGTTTTGTTTTGTTTTGTTTTTTGTTTTTTTTTTGAGCCTTCAGATGTATTTGGGTTTGCTTTCTTTGGATTCACACCCAAATAAGTTGCTACATTCAATGACACTTGCTATCTTACCAGCAGGTCCTCCCACTGACAAAGTAAGAGAACCCTTTACCTTAAAAATAACTTTTCCCTTAGTGTCTGCTATGTTCTTTTCTTTTTCTTCTTATTTTTAATTGTAAAACTCATGTTCATTGTGGAACTTTCTAAAGCAACCGACAAACAAAAAATGTAGAGAGATATTGCAAACATAAAAAAAAAAAAAAAGAAAAATGTAACAAAAATTACTAAAGTTTTATATACTTATTAGAAGGACAGATCTTCTATTGAGGGAACAGAAGACCAAAAAGTTTACCAATGAACATTTAAATTCTCTTTGGAGATTAAAAATTTTAAAATTAATAGTAATAATAGTAATAATAATAATAATAATAATAATAAATGGATAAGTAGGTAAAGAATATTAAACATGGCCCAAAAAAAGCTTAGCAGCTTTAAAAGCAGCTGTTACTCAAACTGCCTGAGATAATTACTTGCGTATAGCAATAGCAATGCTTCCCCTAATGTCTTAGACTTGAGACCTGGCACATTCTGATAAGGTTTGTGATTGAGCTTTTCACATGTTTGGGTTTTCTTCCAGACTCTTTCACATTCCCCTTCCCTGACATTTACAGCTGTTTTGAAGAACTTTGTTATCAGCTGCTCAACTGGGAGACAAACACACAGTAGTTTGGATATTTAAATTCCTTTCAGATCTAATCATTTCACCTTGTCAAGAAATAGGGCAGAACTAACAACAGCAACATAATGATAATGATGATGATGATGATGATGATAATAATAATAATAATAATAATAAATAATAATAATAAAGTTGATGCTTTAGACTGAGCCAGTGTGGTGGTTCCGCTCGAGTGGACAGCCGAGCTCCACCACAGCCGCTCTCTCACTCCCCCTCCTCAAAGAGGAATGGGGAGAAAATATGTGAAAAGGGCTCAAGGATTGAGATAAGGACGAGAAAATCACGCAATAATTATTGTAACGGGCAAAACAGACTCAGCATAAGAAGATAGTAAGATTTATTGCTCATTACTAACAAGCTAGAGAAGTGAGAAACAAAGGAAAGAAACCAAAAGCACCTCCCCCCCCATCCACCCTCTTCCACCTCCTCCCCCCGAGCGGCGCAGGGGAACGGGGGAATGGGGGTTATGGTCAGTCTACAGCACTTCTTCTCCGCCGCTCCTTCTCGGTCACTCTCGTCCCCTGTGCTGTGGGGTCCCACCCACGGGATGCAGTCCTTGACGAACTGATCCGGAGTGGGCTTCCCACAGGCAGCAGCTCTTCCAGAACTGCTCCAGATGTGGGTCCGTACCACGGGGTCCATCCCTCAGGAGAAAACTGCTCCAACCTGGCTCCCCTACGGGCAGCAGCTCCTGCCAGGTCACCTGCTCCTGCGTGGGCTCCTCTCCACGGGCAACAGGTCTGGCCTGGAATCTGCTCCGGCAGGGGTCTTCCACAGGCGGCAGCCTCCATCGGTGCAGGGCCACCTGCTCCACCGTGGTCTCCTCCACAGGCTGCAGTGTGGAACCCTGCTCCACCGTGGTACTCCATGGGCTGCAGGGGGACATCCTGCTTCACCATGGTCCTCACCACAGGCCGCAGGGGACTTCTGCTCCGGTGCGTGGAGAACCTCTCCCCCTCCTTCTACACTGACCTTGATGCCGTTCCTCACTCCCTTCACTCTCCCAGCTGCTGCTGTGGCGCAGCGTTTTTCTCCTGTCTTAAATACGCTCTCACAGAGGCGCAAAACAACATTGCTTATTGGCTCAGCTCTGGAAAACAATGGGGCCCTTCCCAAACATGGGGCAGCTTCTAGATCTTTCTCACAGAAACCACCCCTATGGCCCCCTGCTACCAAAACCTTGCTACGTAAACCCACTACAGCCAGTTCAACTCTAAATTGCATCATCTACTTTTTTGTTTGTTTGTTTGTTTTTCTCCCTCTTCTTTTCCATATTGGTTGCACTGAAGAAGAATTAAACTCATAACTGGAATGGTATCCTTCTGTCTCTGTCCAGGTGTTCACATACCAGTTACATATAGATCAGTACATGTTCTTCCTTGTTGTCTTAAAGTAATAGCAGTAATAATGACAATGAAACACAGGCATATGATATTAGTTTTTGATGGCTGATATCATGTGATCATCCAGAGGCCTTACTAACTTATTTTAATTAGCAAATCAAGTATAAATTTTAAATATTGTCAAGACAGAGACATTGAAAATGCAAAACCAGTTTTCTTTCTTAGGTGAGATTATACTGAGACTGTAGTGAAGCTTCCAAAGTAATCTGAATGCTGTAGTGAGAAGAGGATATGTCCTTCCTGGATGACTGATTTTCAGTTGGTGGCCTGTCATAATTTATAAAACATAATCCATAGAGCAGTGTGAACAAATGAATATCTGGAGCGGCCAATGTTTATCAGAGAACCCAGGAAGACATCTGCTAAGTATAAATAATGCTGTAGGATCATTGAACACCACTTTGTTTTTGATGTTCTGTCTCAAATTCCTTCATAATTTAAGCACACCTGATATCTTTGGGGAAGAAATGGAACTTAGTGGGGTTGCATTAGCAACAATAATGGTTTAGAATTGTTAATAATCCTGGGAATGTCATCTTCTATGCATCCCTAAAAAAAATAGAATTCTTTTTTGCAAGAATAAGGATGTACACAGGAGTCTGTTTCAGATTTTTTTTTGCATTAGTGCATTAGCATTATTTTGTTTGGGGGATTTTGTGACTCTAAGGAGAAGTGGCTGAAGTAGAGTAGGTTTGCCTCTTCTTTTGTTTTTCAGGTGCATATATAACAGAACTTAGAATAATTGCTGCAACAGAAGACGTTTGTTTACATTAATGATTCATGGTTTTTTTTTTTTTAAATGGGTAGTAAAAGTACTTTAGACAAAAAAAAAGTAAATAGCTTATTGCTTAAATGCACTTCAAATTTTCTCCAAAATTAAAGTTTTTGTTTTGGGGGCTATCAGCTGAACCAGTGAGGCTGAAAGCCAATCTCTCATGTGCTCAGCTACTCCTATGATAGTGCTAACCTGGCCAGCTGAAGTTATACATCTTGTCCTTGTCTGACTCATATTTTCTATTGGTGTATATATATATATAATCTGTTTGGTAGAGAAACCCATTGCCTTTTAGATAAAATTAACTAATAAAATGGCTGATTTGGAGAAATCAACTTGGGGAAAGAGAGGTCGTCAGGATTTGTTATTATCTTTTGGGTGTTAATTTTATATATTCTAGCAATGTTCCTCTTCAAAGGGGTGTACTGAGTCTGGCTGGGATGTTAACTTTCCCTGCAGCAGCCCATACAGCTTTTTTGTGCTTTATTGAAAAAAAACTGTAAAGCTCATGTTTCTGCATTTTTTTCCTGTGGTCTTGGATTCATATCTGATTGCCTGTGTATTTATGGTCAAATTCATATCATTTAAAACAGCAAGATGTTGAAAGATGATATAATGTGCAATGGGTCTTAAGGTTAGAACTATATTAAAAACATAACTTACAGGTACTGGCAAAATTTTGCTCAGTGAAAACTTTTTAAGCTAAGACACTGGGACCTTTTACTTCAGATGATCTAACTTCATCTTTTTTTTTATGTTTATGTACGTGAAGATCTCTAATGATGTTTAGAAATATATCATAAATAATTCTCAGTCTGAGAATTATTACAAATGCTAGTAACATATATATATGTATTATTTACTTATCTGGGAAATTGTCATTTAGCACCTACTGAATTCAGAATAAAATTTTGGTTTTCTATAACAAAAACTATTATAACAAAAAGCTATAACAAAAAATAATTAAGACAATTTACTTTTGAAAAGCACATCAGTACACAGAAGAGGTAACTTAAGTCATATTTAGGCTACGGTATACTTTTTGTCTTGATAGTTCTAAGAAGTTTTTTTGTTTTCAGTTTTACAGAGAAGAAAATAGCTAAATCTAGTGTTTTGAACACTGCTAGACAATACGGGAGTACTTGTGTATTACTGAAGGGTTCCGACATTTTCTTAGATGATTCTTTACTAGGACTTTTATCTAGCTATTTAAAAACTTTTAGGGCTAATGCTTCTGAAGATGGAAAGAAACATCTTCATGTTCTATAGAAGCATATGGGAAAAAAAAATCACTGCAGGTTTATATAAGGTTAGTACCTCCATTACCTCTCAATTCAATATCTTTCACAGCTTTGAGGAGTTTCAGGATGTTTGTGTGATCACGTGGAAATTTCTAACAGGAATCTTTCAGCTGTGGAAAAACTATGAAATATCCACACAGGTCAGCTTTAGTCTTCAGTACCAAACAAAATAAAAGCTAATCTTTCCTGTCCAATGGATAGAGAAATTTTCTTCTGCCTTTCTTAGAAATTCAAGCTCACAGTTAACAGCAGAAGGAAAAGCAACCCAACTAGTTTACTGAAGATCTGAAACTTAAATATATATTCAGAAAACAAGTGAAGACTATGCCACAGACTTTCTTTTGTGTTGAAGAGCTCAAAGGAAAGATGCTAACAGTGAGACTGTCTTTACTCATTGATTTGCGACTGTTCTAGAAAATAATGGGGGAATATAACAGATTTAATTTTGGGGATGTGTATGCTCTTTTTCCATACAATTTTAGAAATCTTTTCATGAGAGGAACTGTTGACTCATTATGTTTCCATGACATATGTGATTATTCTTTGCATACCAACACATATTGTGGATAGTCCTGTTTGCATCCTTTCTCTTTATCTTTTCTGTTCAGTTCAACTATAAGAAACAAGGGTTTCAGAATTCTCTGTCATAAGGAAATGCTAAACTTTTTTTTTTTTTTTTCCCCACAACTTTCTTTTTAAGACTGGTACTATGATGTTGGTCTTACCAGAACAACAGCCAATTCAGTCATAATGTTATTTTTCTGTATTAAAATAATTTCTTGTGTTGTCAAGTTAAGATTTTATGAGAGCTTTTTTACTCCGTCATTTATCTTTTCTATGGAGCAAGACAGCTGAGTGACAGCATTATTAAAACATGTGACAAGATGGCATTTGGTGTTATAACCAGTGTCTTACTAACAGAAGGCCATGGTGTCTTGTAATTTCTTGAAGAAAAAGGAAAACAAATTTTAATTTTGTTCCAAAGGGAAAATTCACAGGGGAAAATAAGTAAATAAGTAAATAAAATGAGAGAGAGAGAAGTACTTGCAACAAGAGCACAGCCAAATTTGTGATAGTTGATACAGGTTCATGGTTTTTTTTACTGGCAGTATAAACTAATCAATCTGCTTATGCCCTCACAAATTTATATAACATGCACATATTGTTGTATGAGCAAGAATACACTTTTTGTCTTTTTATTTCTATGTGTATACCACCTTCCTACCTTAATTTCAGAATGGACTGGCATTGCAGAAATTTTCTCTATGAAATGTTAATGATGGCAGAAATCATCCCTATAAGCTAAGCTAGTTCAAGATCATTACAATATTTGCAGATTTTCATTGCACTGTTTTTTTGTTTTTTGTTTGTTTTTTGTTTGTTTGTTTGTTTGTTTTTGTTGTTTGTTTGTTTTGTTTTGTTTTGTTTTTTTGTTTTGGCACCTATGTGCCAATTAAAGGTATCCAGTTCAGTAGCACATTTCAGTTTCTGATTTATTTTTTTTTCAGTTGAAATTTTCCTTCTTTGCATTTTAAATTTTTAAATTATTATTTGGTTAACTCATATGTACTTTGGTTAATTTTCTACAAATCCTACTGTGTGACAGTCCATTCCTTTTTTGCCATGTGGGGTATTTCTAAGTCTGAATTACAAGATATTTTCCTTCTGTAAGCTTTGATTAGCAGGCCTGTTAAGTTCTCACTGTTTATCTTAAAAGCTCAGGAAGGAACATATGCATCTCATATGCATATAGGTCTAAGAGGATGCTCATTTCTGAAAAAAAAAAAAAAAAAAAAAAAAGCAGTAATTCAAAATTGTGACACTAAGAATTCAAACAAATTTAAGAGGTTTTCTGAAGGTTTTCAGAGAGGGGAAAAGATGCAATAGGAGATTTTGAATTGAATCTATTGATTAGAAACGAGACAATCATGATTCTGCTACTTAAGAAATGTTGACTTGTTAATCTCTCTTGCTATCAGAATGCTGAGGAGACTGGGGTGTTCTTTAATTCCAAGCCTCTTCAGGGAAATGCTTTCAATGTGTTTATTAAGCTGTGTGGGTGATAAACTATTTTCAAACATTAAGATGTTTGCTCAGCTGATAGTGAAAAAGGGAGAGACAAGTAGACACTGCTCTGCTTTTGACAGTGTTATGAAGGAAATTACTTGTGAGAGGGGCTAGAATTGTGAATTGTGCTATTGCTCACCAAACTGGGGTGTACCAGATGCAGTTACTGCCTTCTCACAGTCCTGAAGGGCTGTTGGAATAGTCAGAAACAAATAGTATTTCACAGGGAGCACAGGAAGGGGTAAGATGGCTATGCTTTATTGCTCCAAACACATGTCCCTGTGGTAGGAGTTCCAATAAGGTGCTACTTATGCTGTTTTTGCTGTGCATGTTTTTGTATGATATATGCACTGACCTGGAAGTTGAGATCAGCAACTGAGACATCCATTTACTTCACATAAACAAAGAAACGACTACTTATTAATGACAACTTCTAGTTGACACCATCTGGGCTGGCTTTAGATCAGTGCCATGAAGAAGGTAACTTATTCTATAATGACATTAATATGAACTGCATGACCTAATATTTGCATAAGGTCCCAAAATGTTCACTTGCACATAATGTTCTGAGATAGGAGACGTGGTGGAAGAGAGAAGCTTATGTGCACAGCTGACTTTATATACATTGCTTGAAGATACAACTATTCTTTCCTCTCTGAGCTGTAGAGAAAACTTTTCTAAACAGTTTAAAATAGTTTCAGGAGGAGAATCAGATTTTGTAATTATTATTTTTTCTCTAATACATCAGACTACTTGATACAGGCAAGTGGCATACCTATTTCTTTCACAATGTATTTATATTTTGCAAGTGCCATCTCAAATGCATTTCCCTGCTGGACAGATAGTGTTTGACATGAATATGCTCTGACAGTTTGAAATAATTACAGAGAAGTTTGTAAGTCCAAGTTGGCCATATGTTATACGTTACATACAGTACTGCAAACCCAAACCTTATACTGCATGGGCACTGGTACTGCCACTGCACTGGTGAGGATGGCTCCAGGGAAATGTGTGAAAGTTGAATCACAGCATCACAGAATCATCTAGGTTGGAAGAGACCTCCAAGATCGCTTAGTCCAACCTCTGACCTAACACTAACAAGTCCTCCAATAAACCGTATCAGTAAGCTCTACATCTAAATGTCTTTTAAAGACCTCCAGGGATGGTACTCTACCACCTCCCTGGGTAGCCCATTCCAGTGCCTAACAACCCTTTCAGTAAAGTTTTTCCTAATATCCAACCTAAACCTCCCCTGGTGCAGCTTTAGCCCATTCCCCCTCGTCCTGTCACCAGGCACGTGGGAGAACAGACCAACCCCCACCTCGCTACAACCTCCTTTAAGGTACCTGTAAAATACGATAAGGTCACCCCTGAGCCTCCTCTTCTCCAGACTGAACAATCCAAACAGACTGAAAAAGCGAGGGGCCCAAAACTGAACACAGTACTTGAGGTGTGGCCTCACCAGAGCTGAGTACAGGGTGACAATCACTTCCCTAGACCTGCTGGCCACACTGCTTCTTATACAGGTCAGGATGCTGTTGGCCTTCTTGGCCACCTGAGCACACTGCTGGCTCATATTCAGTTTACTATCAGCCAAGACTCCCAGGTCCTTCTGTGCCAGGCAGCTTTCTAACCTCCCATCTCCCAGTGTAGCACTGCTTGGAGTTGTTGTGCCCCAAAGGCAGGATCCGACACTTGGCCTTGTTGGACTTCATACAATTGGCCTCATTGGTCCAGCATAAACTGTGCTTGACACAGACGCAGGGAGAAGATTCATCCTCTTGAGAATGACTAGTGAGATTTCGTAATGTGTAAAGTCAGAGCAGGGTTTTCATGAATGCAAGAACAGCCTGGGCTTCTTTTCACCTGTATTATGGTGACATTATACTAGTATTATACTGTGTATCATGGACATTATATTAGTTTTGCCAGTCCCAGTTAGAACTTTTTATGAGTCCTATGCTTATTGTTACTCAGCTGTCAGTACCAGCTTTATGAATATTTAAGAAATCTCTAATCATTTTAAAATTCTTAAAACTGATTGTAACTGGACATGGGACAGAAAATGTTTTAGTTCTGGTATATCTCTAGTTTATTGATAGGAACCAGCATGCCATAATTAAATTAAGTAGTTGCATTGTAATATTAAACTGAATAGTTGTCTATATCTTTCTATATATGGATAGATGTATAATCAGATTTATCTGTTCTCCTTAGTTTTTCCTTTTTTTTTTTTTTTTCCCATTTCAATATTTGTCCTGAGTTTGGAATTTTTTTTTCCTCCTTGACAATAACTAGAAAATAAGGAAGAGAAGATGGAAAAGGTAGTCATAAATACTAAAGAACAGGATAGATCAAAATAGAATGGATAAATAAGATACAAAGTGGAAATTATGGATAAGTGATATTACATTGACAGTTTTCAAAGTGATTGCTTTCTAAAACAAACATTTCTGATTCTCCTGAATGAGAACTATGTCAACATTTTTTTTCCAAATAATTATTTCTCTTCTGAAGGGCAAAGCTCTCTTTTTTTTTTTTTTTTTTTTGATTTTTTAAGAAGACTTTAAATTTCATGGTCTATTTTGGAAGGTCAAGTCTTGAAAAGCAGACTGGCAGTTTGTTATACAGTGAGTCAGTTCAGTGGACTGATGCTTATATTGACTTAGCAGAGGTAGAAGTGTTTGGGTTGAAGTCTTGTGTTGAACCTGAGATCTCTGAGGAATTCATCCAGATGGCTACTTACCTGGGCTAATGGAAAAAGAAGATACTTGACAGAGGTGTCTCTTGGTAACAACCAGATAAAGAACTTGAAAGTCTGAATCTGTAAAATTTTAAAATAAAAAAACAATGTGATGTATTAATAATGTTATAAAATAAAGTTGGGTGAGGCCCTGGGCAACTTGATCTAGTGGCTGGTGTCCCTGCCCATGGAGGGTGTTGGAACTAGGTGATCTTTAATGTTGCTTCCAACCCAAGCAGTTCTGTGATTCTATGATTCCATGAAAACTGATGATCTATCACTTCAAGGACTTTAAGTCACCTCACGTGAAGTACAATCTATAAGGGCAAAATTGTTAGATAACATAGATTGTTTTCGCTTCTACAAGTCTGTGAAAAGCTAGAAAGGAATATGATTATTTACCACATGACTAAATAAAGAAAGCCTTTAGCCATTAGGGCAGTTCAGATTCATAATCATGGGAATTTGATTAATTTGAATTCTCAACTCCTTTCAAAAAGTACAATTAGGACTATTAATTTCATGCATGTCAGCTATTGACTTCAAGGGAAAAGGAACAAAGAAACCTAGATGTGCAATAGTACTTAAATTTTGTTAATTTCTCTTTGCTTTCTACTCGGATCACAGATATTTTAAAGTGCACACGGTTCTATCCACGTTTATGTTTTGTATTCAACATGTTATTTTACATGTACAAGCACTAAAGTTTGAAAACACATCCTATACAGAATATAGTTGCATAATTAGTTTTTTTCAGGTCTTTGGGACATTCTGAAAGGTTATAAAAGACTTACAATAGCAATTACCAATGGAGTGCCTCAAATAACACACCACTAAACCAGGCAGATGTCCAGAGTTTGAGAGACTAATTATCATTGATGACTTTGAGGTAGTTCAGACAAAAAAACTACTATACAGGAATTATTCAGGTACTGCCTGGCTTATATGTGCTCAACACCTTCAAGGAGAGGGGAGTTCCCCCCAGTTGAAAGCCACTAAATTGTACAGACCATGAGCTAACACGGGACTTTTAGGGAAGTTCAACAGTTGAGTCTAGTTATGCCTAGAGCCTCTGAAGCCAGATTCATTTAAAACTAAAATGAACAAAGGTCTGTTGAGTAGGAGCCAAAATGAGGAACAAGGAACAGAGATGAGAGCACAACATGAAAATAAAGTTTTGTTTCCTGTTGCTTGTTGTTTACAGATTTAAAAGCTTTACAAATGGGAACATAGCCAGAAATAGCAGTGATTTGGATTGTTTTAGTTGAACCAGAAAACTAACAAATAGCTCTTGAAATGTTGATCCTGCAAAGGGATTTATATTCTTCTATATTCTGTACTTACATCCAGAGGCATGTTTAGTCTAGCCTCGAAAAGGGCAATATCATAAATCTAAATTGGGAATAAGAATCTATTTAGGGTTGTAAAAATCCAAAGCATTTGGATAGGTACATGCAAATAAAAGCACACAAAATACTCAAACAAGGCCAAGGAAAATGTAAACCAGTAAATAAGTCTGAAAAGAGAAGTAAATTGTGGAGCCTTTCATCCAGAGAAGCTGATGAATAAGATATCCAGAGTAGTTTAGCAGGAAGAATATTAAATGTCAAGAATATTTGCAAGGAGGTGTGTTTAATTATAGAGTGGCTGTCTAAAGTAAGAAACAGAAGATTTCAGTTTGCTTAAAGATTATTTTTGAAAACATGTTTCTGTTTCTATTTTCAACCCCTCCCATATTCTTCCCCTTCCTACACTTCTGACAACTAGCAGGTGTGTGTAAGTTTTTACTGTTATTATTATTAACACTATTTGTATTACTATAATTGTTACTGAAATGTTTGTTTATACACTAATGTTTGTTTATAACTCTGCCTGGGCAGTCTTTTTTTTTTTTTTTTTTTTTTTTTTTTTCCTGTTAATGATTGCACACTGTTTTAAGTAATAGTTTTGAAAGTGTTGAGACATTGCTATTATTAAGTTCACACACTAAGATCTTTGCACCCCAGATAAACTCTTTTCAGAGCGTAGTAACTATTTATAGTAAATACTTAGCCGATCTATACACACCTTTCAATAAATGTTCAGGTAACTGCTTAATTCCTCATAGCAGTGCTTTGTGCTATGTACTATAAAAAGATTTTCCCATTCAAGAACTTTGATCAATACTAAGGTTAACCAACTTTACCTCACCAGTTGCAAAGGTATTTTTTGCCAGAGATGGTATACATACCTGTACCTTAAATATATATATATATATAGTTTCATAGAAGGCTATATCTCTGCAAAGCAGGGAAAAAACAGAACTAATGTATGAATTTCCTGTTGTTTTTTTTTTTTTTTTTTTTTTGTTTTTGTTTTTGTTTTGTTTTTAACCAATTCCTTTGAAATAATGTCGTGGTTTAACCCGGCCGGCAGCTAAACACCACGCAGCCGTTTGCTCACCCTCCCCCCTCCCTCTCTGGGACGGGGGAGAGAAATGGAAAGTGAAGCCCGTGAGTTGAGATAAAGACAGTTTAATAAGACAGGAAAATAATAATAACAAAATAATAATAAAATAATAACAATAATAATACAATGGTGATAATAGGAAAGTAATAATAGTATATACAAACAAGTGATGCACAATGCAATTGCTCACCACTCGCTGACCGATGCCCAGCCTAACCCCGAGCAGTCCGGCCCCCTCCCCCCGGCTAGTCACCCCTATATATTGTTTAGCATGACGTCAGATGGTATGGAATACCCCTTTGGCTAGTTTGGGTCACCTGTCCTGGGTCTGTCCCCTCCCAGCTCTTACTGCACCCCCAGCCTGCCCGTTGGCAGGACAGAGCAAAGGCTGAGATGTCCTTGGCTTAGTATAAGCACTGCTCTGCAACAATTAAAGCATCGGGGTGTTATCAGCACTCTTCTCATCCTAAGCCAAAACACAGCATTCCACCAGCTACTAGGAAGAAAATTAATTCTGTGCTAACTGAAACCAGGACAAATAATTACTAATTATACAGACTATTTTAATAGTCTGTATAGATCGCCACAGCTTTTAAAATATTGCTTCCCTGAAAGATCAGTGAATATCAAACAGAGGCTGGAAGCAAAGACAAACATGAAATACCAGCTTCAGTGGAATCAGAGAAGTAGTTTAAACTCAAAGCATAAAGGAAGAAAAAAGATTATAAGAACTATATTATTATTATCATCATCGTCATTATTGTTATTAATATGATCACCAGACTGCTAATCTTGACTCTCACAGACTTTAAAGCACTCAGCCTACCACTAAATGATAGACAGAGTTTAACAGAATAAATTAAAATGTAATTGATACTGTATTACTGCAGGACTTAATAAGGTTATACCTTAATAAAAAATATTTTAAAAACTTAGCAGATGGTGATATTCTGGAACAAATTCATTTTCTCTTACAGAAGTTTTTAGTTTCTTTTTTTTCAGGGAAGGTGCACTTTACTGATATTTCTATTAATTGATCAATAGAAACTAGCTCGCTATACTAGTTCATTGTTTCCAGAGCTACAGGCTTGGTGGAGGGAAGTAGATGTCATAACTTACTCTTTTCAGAAAATGGAATTAAAAAAAAAAAAAAAAAAAAAAAAAACACCTTAGTAATTGGTACTTTTCTTTAACATATTTATGTAATTACCTAAGCATTGAAATATCATTCGTATATGGAAATATCATCTGGTATCACTGGATAGCTAGAAATGGAAAAGTTTAAGTCTTGATAATTTTTTTTCTCACAGTTAAAGTAGTGTCATTAATTCATATCCACCTGGCCCACTCTCTTTATTTCTTCTTGGTTCATCTTCTTCCAGATTTAGGAGTTACCTGAAAGCAGCCACAAGCGCTTTGCTTACAGACCTGTATTTACTCAGGGGATCCAGAGGGCTTGCTTCAGGAGAAGTTGCTCAGCATATGTCCTTCAACCACATCAAAATCTATCTGGAGCTATATTACCGACCACCTCCCCTTTTTGTTGTGGATTTTATTGTAAGAAACAAAGTCTGAGATTCTTGTCCTTTAGCAAAGCTTTTCACTTCTCTGGTGCTTTAGACTTTGGGAGGGGGAGAAAACAAAAGGAAATCAAAACCATATGATGTATAACCAGTTATACTAAACACAGGTGGGTGAGGGGGAGAATCCTTTTCTACCACCCATAGGCAATTAGCTTACAATAGAGAGTCATGCGATGTCATTAGTTGCTGTCCTCTAGATAATATTGCTGCCTTCTCAACATGCCCACATACCATGTGCTCTAATCAGCTAATTACTGGTATGTTTCTATCTTATGCTATTGCACAAATGGAATTAGTAAGTAGATAGATAATGCCACAAACCTTCAAACCAACTTTCACAATCACAGAATCACAGAATTTCTAGGTTGGAAGAGACCTCAAGATCATCGAGTCCAACCTCTGACCTAACACTAACAAGTCCTCCACTAAACCATATCAGTAAGCTCTATATCAAAACCTCTTTTAAAGACCTCCAGGAATGGTGACTCCACCACTTCCCTGGGCAGCCCATTCCAATGCCTAACAACCCTCTCAGTAAGGAAGTTCTTCCTAACATACAACCTAAAACTCCCACGGCGCAACTTTAGCCCATTCCCCCTCGTCCTGTCACCAGGCACGAGGGAGAAAGACCAACCCCCACCTTGCTACAGCCTCCTTTAAGGTATCTGTAGAGAGCAATAAGGTCGCCCCTGAGCCTCCTTTTCTCCAGGCTGAACAAGCCCAGCTCCCTCAGCCACTCCTCATAGGACTTGTTCTCCAGACCCCTCACCAGCTTCATCACCCTTCTCTGGACTCGCTCAAGCACCTCGATGTCCTTCTTGTAGCGAGGGGCCCAAAACTGAACACAGTACTCAAGGTGCAGCCTCACCAGAGCCGAGTACACGAGGACAATCACTTCCCTAGCCCTGCTGGCCACACTGCTTCTTATGCAAGCCAGGATGCTGTTGGCCTTCTTGGCCACCTGAGCACACTGCTGGCTCATATTCAGCCAACTATCAACCAATACTCCCAAGTCCTTCTCCGCCAGGCAGCTTTCCAACCATTCCTCTCCCAGCCTGTAGCTCTGCTTGGGGTTATTGCACCCCAGGTGCAGGACCCGGCACTTGGTCTTGTTGTACATCATACAGCTGACCTCAGCCCATCTGTCCAGCCTATCCAGATCCTCCTGCAGAGCCTTCCTACCCTCGAGCAGATCGACACACTTAACTTGGTGTCATCTGCGAACTTACTGAGGGTGCACTTAATGCCCTCATCCAGATCATCGATGAAGATATTAAAGAGGACCGGCCCCAGCACCGGGCCCTGGGGAACGCCACTAGTGACCGGCCTCCAACTGGATTTGACTCCATTCACCACGACTCTTTGGGCCTGGCTATCCAGCCAGTTTCTAACCCAATGAAGCATATGCCAGTCCAAGCCACGAGCAGACAGTTTCTCGAGGAGAATGCTGTGGGAAACGGTGTCAAAAGCCTTGCTGAAGTCAAGGCAGACCACATCCACAGCCTTTCCCTCATCCACCAAGCGCATCACTTTGTCCTAGAAGGAGATCAGGTTCATCAAGCAGGACCTGCCTTTCATAAACCCATGCTGACCGGGCCTGATGGCCTGCTTGCCCTTCAAGTGCCACGTGATGACTCTCAAGATAATCTGCTCCATAAGCTTCCCTGGCACTGCGGTCAAACTGACAAACCTATAGTTCCCCAGGTTTGCCCTTCGGCCCTTCTTGTAGATGGGTGTCACGTTTGCTAGCCACCAGTCAACTGGGAACTCCCCCAATAGCCAGGACTGCTGATAAATGATGGAAAGTGGCTTCGCCAGCTCCTCTGCCAGTTCTCAGTATCCTCGGGTAGATCCCATCTGTCCCCATCGACTTGCGCACATCCAAGTGCCATAGCAGGTCGCCAACCATTTCCTCGTGGATAGTGAGGGCCACATTCTGCTCCCCATCCCCTTCCACCAGCTCAGGGTACAGGGTATCCAGAGAACAACTGGTATTGCCGCTAAAGACTGAGGCAAAGAAGGCATAAAGCACCTCCGCCTTTTCCTCATCTTTTGTAGCTAAGTTACCCCCTGCATCCAGTAAAGGATGGAGATTCTCTTTAGTCCTCCATTTTGCATTGATGTATTTGTAAAAAGATTTTTTGTTGTCTTTCTTTAGTGGCAGTAGTCAGATTGAGCTCCAGATGAGCTTTGGCCTTTCTAATTTTGTCCCTGCACTGCCTCGCAACATCCTTATAGTCCTCCTGAGTGGCCCACCCTCTTTTCCAAAGATTATAAACCCTCTTTTTTCTCCTAAGCTCAAGCTGCAACTCTCTGTTGAGCCAGGCCAGTCTTCTTCCACACAGGCTCATCTTTGGGCACGTGGGGACAGACCGCTCCTGCACCATTAAGATTTCCTTCTTGAAGAGTGCCCAGCCTTCCAGGACTCCTCTGCCCTTCAGAACTGCCTCCCAAGGGACTCTACCAACCAGTGTCCTGAGCAGCTCAAAGTCAGCCCTCCAGAAGTCCAATACAGCAGTTTTACTGGTCCCCTTCCTGGCCTCGCCAAGAATAGAGAACTCCACCATTTCATGGTCACTCTGCCCAAGGCAGCTTCTGACCACCACATCTCCCACCAGTCCTTCTCTGTTTGTGAAGAGAAGGTCTATTGGGGCACCACCCCTGGTAGGCTCACTAACCAGCTGCGTCAGGAAGGTATCTTCCACGCTCTCCAGAAACCTCCTAGACTGCTTTCTCTGGGCTGTGTTGTGCTTCCACGATATGTCAGGGAAGCTGAAATCCCCCACGAGAACAAGCGCTGACAATTTCGCAACTTCTGTCAGCTGCCTGTAGAACTCCTCATCTGTCTCCTCATCCTGGTTCGGCGGTCTATTACAGGCCCCGACCAGGACGCTAGCCTTGTTGGCCTTCCCGCCAATCCTAACCCAAAGGGACTCAACCTTTTCATTCCCAGCCTCGAGTTCCACAACATCGAAAGATTCTCTAATATAGAGAGCCACACCACCACCCCTTCTGTGCTGCCTGTCCCTTCTGAAGAGCTTATAGCCAGTCATTGCAGCACGCCAGTCATGAGAGTGGTCCCACCACGTCTCTGTGATGGCAACCAAGTCGTAGCCTGCCTGCTGCAGGATGGCTTCCAGCTCTTGCTGTTTGTTACCCATGCTGCGTCCATCAGTGTAGATGCACTTCAGCTGGGCCATTGCCTTATCCCTCGGCCTTGCTATTGTTCCCCCTGGCACAGCTCCAACAAGCCTTGTTTCAGCCTCATCTCCCATCTTAACCAATTTAAAGCCCTCTCAATGAGCCCTGCCAGCTCCTGGCCCAGGATCCGTTTTCCCCTTAGAGATAGGGACCCGTCTGCAGCCATCAGGCCGGGTGCTGAGTAAAGCTCCCCATGGTCAAAAAAAACAAGATTTCTGTGCTGGCACCAGCCTCTGAGCTGGGTGGGCTTTTCGTGTCCTGTCAGTACCCCTCCCTGCCACTGTAGGGATAGACGAAATCACCACCTGTACTCCCGTTCCCTCCAGTAATCACCCCAGCTCCCTAAAGTTCCGTTTAATAGCACTGAGGCTTCTCTCTTTGATATCATCACTGCCTGCCTGGACTATCAAAAGAGGGTAATAGTCAGAGGGGCAAACCAGGTTGGGA